ATCAAACAGATATTCCTTATGTCTGTTTTTTATTTTGTCGATTGTAATACAGTAAACTTTTTTAGTCATCTTCATCATGCAATCAATGAATTAATTGTACTAATTTGATTTAGTGTTGAATTACATGCTGAAGACAGGTCATATTAGGTTACATATACTACGTTGCGAATTAAGCATTCCTTGAGAAAAACGTTAATCTGAATTTGTAGTCAGCATTTCTGTGGACTGCTCTGAAAGCAGGTGAACCAATGAAAATTAATAACATAACCCCGCCATTACTAATCCACTGTTAAATCGGCGTTAGAGTTGAGAGAGGGAATTATTTTGCGCGAAATTAGGATTTCGCATGTTAGCCGTAGAGCTACATTCGATCAGCGGGTTGTCTAGTCAACCTGGTCAGAGCAGATTCTCCTTTTGGCTTGGAAGAGTCATGGCGAACGATTCGACATTGGTCTTTGAACCTAGATCATTTAAATTAGCGTTGGAAAGTAACCGAACTTATAACAGGTAACAGTTAGGTAAGTAGTTTTCAAAGCGACCGTTAGTGTCCATTTTTGGACCAGTTGGTTTTTTGGAAGATCATTTGCCCCAGTGGAAAAATTACGTGCCATTTTGGAGCAATATAAAAAAGTGCATTATAGTTCCGCGACACTCAGCGTAAATTGCGTGCATAAATCGTGACGAATAGTTACTCAAATAAGGTGCCAGTTCACAAGGGGTTAAGTGGTATAAAGTTACTCCACAGAAATATTTACGCATCCCACTATGGGAGTTGAAAAAAAACTTCGTTTCGAGAAGAACACAGTCCGTCCTTGTAAATAAACGCCTTCATCAGCGCATTCATAAAAAACCGCATATTGGCGCAGTGTAATAAAGTAAAAGAGAGTTTATATGCAAGCCGAAATTACAACAAAGAAAACTGTTAGTGAACCCGGATAACATTCATGTTCATTATTCGTGCCGATAAGATAAAGATAATCAGTGTAAAAGTTTACCTAAGAGATTTCCTAAAAGTTACATCACATTTCAATAACAACGCATCTTAAATTGAGTGTGCGCCACCAAAATTGTACTGACCGACAGAATAGTTAAAATCCGAAGCCAGCCTGTATTTCCCAATCAATCATCAAAGATTCCAATCCAAAGGGCGATTTGTTTAGGTTATTTCAAGTCGGCGGGTTTAAGCACGTATTTCAGTTCAAAATACCTGTTAATTACCATTGATTGCTGATTCAACAAGGTTAGCCGTAAGAATTCCAAGCCTTTCACATCGAGGAAAATATTATAAATAAAGAGGTTAGTTGTATTTTTGTATTTTTGTGAAATTCGATCTACAGCTTTTACGATCCATTGTAAAAAGGTAAAATTTTGACCTATATTATATCATTACTATTAAAATTTTAAAGGCCAGATTATGTGTATTATTATCAAAATTTGTTGCCCATTTTAAGTAAATTTACTCTCTTTCGAAATCAAAAAAGATCCCTTAAATATCACTGTGAAGGATACACAGCTCAGAGGTCATCTGTGAATTAATTTGTCAATATAAAGCAACATTAAGGTGTAAAGGTATTTCTGTAAATTATGAAAATTTAAATTCAAACCATTAAGTTATTTAAAACTAGAAAAAGGGATGGCCAGGTCGAAGTAAATCTCAACTACACAAATTTGTCAGGTAGAAATTTAGGAAATAGAAACTCAATGTAACAAAGAGATGCATCTTTAAACCACCATCTTACCAAGATGGCCGCCAAAAACGGTTTTGGGCAGATATCTGAGCAAAAGGAAAATAAAAGAGAAGAAAATTCCCCACAAAAAATATAGTTCGCATATTTTCACTAATTAACCCTTGGTGGTCTATATTTTATCCAAATAATTTAATAATCAATTAATTAATTAATCAAATTGATTATTAATCTATGATCAATTAATTTTAAATAACTAAAATTACCTACATGGTCTATCTACGCAGGCCTGACGGACCTGGTTCGTTAATGTCACTGTTTTCAATGCCGAATAGGTTTATCCCTATTTCGGAATCAATTTGAATTTGTCGGATTCCACTTCTATAGTCGATAAAGGAATATCGAGCGGCAATTCCAAGTCATCCTCATCAGATTCGTCCAGTGTCATACTTTGTTGACATTTTCGCAAGTGTTTCCGTTGCATATAGGTACCGCAAGTCAGGGGCCATTTTAACCCTGTTTTTCTGCATACGCAGACGCTACCACTTGCACTTGCATGATAAAAAAGCAAGTAGTGCCTCGAGAGCAGGATCCTTCAAAGAGGTTACTGGGGTGATGCCAGTTTGGGTTTTCATTGTCCTCAATCTGAATAATTCAACAACTTGGCCAATCTGATGGGCTCGTGAAGTTAGCAGAACATTCCCGGCACAAATTACGTTTGTCTCGGTTTGTGCCGTAAAAAGCTTGCCGGTGAAATATACCGTTTGGAAGTTTGTAGGTTGTAGGTTTGTAGGCGCACATTTCGGGACTAGGGGATTAGTTAATGCTACATTTGTGCCGGATTCTGTCGTAAAAAGTTTGTCAGCAAACCATTGCCTTGGAAGGTTATCACAATTTTTAGATGTTCTGGAAACCTTGTATACTTTTGACGCTATATACTATTGAAAATAAGTATAATGTTAATGTTGCGCATGGGTTAATCCTACCGTTGTACCGGAATATATAAAAAAAATTTGACCAAAAAAGGGCCTGCGGCAATAAATGCCAGCACGTTTTTAATATTATAACTGGAATCCAAACCGAACAGTTTTTTGCCGGTGGATTACAGAGTTGAACATCAAAATATTTTATTTTATTTTTATTTATTATCCCTCTCTTGTTCCGGGCCCCCTCAACAGGCTTCCGCCCAATTACAGAGTGACCCGCATAATGCTTGTTAGAGGTGCCTGTGCCTTAAGTCTTAAGAACCGGTGAAACAGTACCTACTTAAGAGGACTATACACCGAAGGTTATGGGATTTTGTAAATAAGGGACTAATGCTTTGAAAGGATTATCTGGAAATTGTTTACTGTCATTTGTAAGTTATAATCTATCGTGGAAAGTGTTTATTCTGCCCATAAATGGAAAAATAATAATTTAAACTTGTAAATTTGTTTATTTACCGAGACCTTGAACTTGGCGTTATCCAAGAAATTTTCCTTTCAAGCGACTGTGACGTGGTGCCGCCTAACGAGGGAGCGTGGTGGGGTTAGCGCTGCATATCAATTAGTCACGTGCTATAGGTATAGCGTACCAATGAAATAAAGCCCATAGTGATGGCTTAAAGGCACTGAATGTCACAATATAACGAATTTAACGAATCAAATTTGAAAGTTGACATGTTTATTATCATAGAAGATGGCGACGTCTAAAATAAAATCTTAAAATTAATTGATCATAGATAAACTGATTAATCAATTTGATTAATTAATTAAATGATGAATGAATTATTTGGATAAAATATACGCCACTGGTTATTAAAAATTTCTTTAATGAAAATATGCTAACTACTTTTTCTGTAGGAAATTGTCTTCTCTTTAATTTTGATCACTACATATTTTCTCGAAAAATGGACAGTTTTGGATATATCTGCAGGAAACCGCTTTTGGCGGCCATCTTGGTAAGATGGCGGCGTCGGTGGCAAGTATCGAATTGTACATTTGACGGATTTAAGTTCTACGCACCCAAACCTATAAAATTTCAGTACTTCCTGAGTTATTTGGTATGTTTTGCTGGCAAACTTTTTGCGGCACAAACGTTGCACGAACGGTTCGTGACGAACCAATCTACCTAGTCTTGAAATTTGTGCCGTCAAAATTTCACATAGAGGAATGAGATCTCTTGTGTAAACCAAAGGGAGTAAAAAGAGGTGCACGGGTTAGTAGGAGGTATTTTTTTTTACCAATTTTTATGATACAGTGTTCTGGTTGCATACAAACTAAATTTTTAATCACTTATTTGCAACGGAAGTACCGTGGCAAAATGGAACTCATCAATGGGGCATTAGTGTAGCTTCCGGTGCGAGCGGTATTTTCATTCGGAGTGTTACCAGATACTAAACAAATATTTCATAGAGAGCTAGCTGTTGGTCAGTTGATTATTTTTCTGAAGAATTTTCGAGTTTACTTAAAAACCCAAAATTTTATTTCAAGGTTCAACCCCCCCTATATGCAATAAAGCCTGCTGCAATTAGCCATGATCAAATACAGAGATATGTGTATTTACTCACATTTTAGCACTTTTTCCGCCTGTTTGTAGAAATTTAAGAGGAGTGTTTGAGAAATGTAGCAATACTTGTCATATCCCTATTGTGTTATAACAAGCCTATTTCACTAATTTTCAAAGATACATTTTATAACATCTCATAGCATCTAGAAATTTCGACATTCAAAGGTAAGAAACTGCTAATGCCAATGTATTTGAATAATAAATAAATAATTGCTGTATTTTAATATTTCTCAAACCTTCCTCTTAAATTTCTGCAAACAACACGAGGAAAAAGTGTTAAAACGTGTGTAAATACAACATTTCATCAATTTTCAATTATTTGGTCGTCGTCAATGGGGAAAGTTACGCAGCATTTCACAATTACTTCTTAAATATTAAGGAAAAATGACCTCCAATTTTTAGAAGCGACATTAGTACGAGATTGAAATGTTTCATGTAGGATATCTTATCGTTACTCATGAAACAGTAAAAATTGTACAAAACCTCCAAGGGGTAGTATTAGTTTTTAGACACAAGATACAGTAATTGTGCATGATCTTCAAGATACAAGCAGATATACTTTCTATTTCTATATACCCAAATGTGGGAACCACTTCGAATTGTGCCCAAGTTCATATGAGATTCCTTAGAATTTGCCCACCTGCGAAATGCCTACAAAAGAATCAACATTCCAAGTAAATTGAATGTAGTAGTAGCTAATCCATTCCATAGCGATCCCCACTATCTAGGTAGAAACCGTAATCGTTTTACTATTCCATACTTTTTACCTGTCCTCCAGTTAGTGTAACTACGAGTTAACGCAATGTAAGTCGCGGATTTTAACGTATGAGAATGACAGCTGTTTACCTGTCCACCTGCTAGTGAGTGAGTGCATGTTTTAGTGTTAACAAGTGATTACACAAGCAAGCCTTCTGGGCCATCAAGTAAGTTTGTGGGTATAGCAGCAGTTGCGCTCTACTAGCTTATAGTACGACAATGCGGAAGAGTTATGCTTTGTACTACGGAAACAACTTTTGATGGCACTTGTTTCACGAGAAATTATATTAACACCGGCTACCATTGCTAAAATCATTTTTCGTACGGTAAATTGCCACCCCTGGCAAATCGTCTTTCAAACTTTAATTTAAAATCCACCTACACATTTTTGATTGATTTACATATGAAAGTAACTTTGAAAGTATGTAGCAGCCTTGAAGTTTATTAACAGTAAACGTATAGGTATCAATATCCACATTATAAACAAATTCATCACAATATAAACAAATAAAATCCTTTTGGATCTATACCGTACCTTTGGCGTACCGATAACTATCAAGTCTTAAAAGGCAGTCAATTTCTTTTTTCTATCGAGGTTAATTTGCCTTGCCTGAGAATGTTCATAATTTCTAATTAAATAAAGTGCACTTTCTTAGGAAAATCCTTTAGACTAGAAGACCTTCTTTCAGACGTGCAAAAGAAGAAATTGCACTAACCGTTTGTACGATTTCAGACGTAATCCTCCAGCCGGAAGTTAGATAATAAGATTCCTTGCATTTGTCACAGTTTTGCGATTGTTAGCCAATCTCCATCAAATTTCATGTTCACATTATTCAGTGCAGACGCTACCTCTTCGTCATTCGCTAAAAATAAATTTATTCATTGTTCATAAAACGTTCACTTTTGCCTTTAGGGGAAATGCTTTCTTTTCCAAAAACAGCTTTCGCCTATTTTATTACACCATAAACGAGTTTGTGTATAAGCACTTGAGTGTACCAATAAGGAAGAGGCTGTACCATATAGGTACACTTTCTTTAATGAAGAGGGTTTTCTTTTGGAGGAAAATTAAAGTAATGGTCGTTTAATTTTGCTAATTCGTCTACTAGAAACTTCACTGTGCATCGTTAATAAAATCTAATTCACGGTCAGTAAATTATTGAGATCGCAAATTTCTTATATTTGATAATTGTTCTGTTTATGGCATAACTGTAAGAATGAACTGTAAGTAATTAATTAAGAGCAATTGTGCGGTATTTAAATAGAATTAGGAATGGTTCGAGACCATTACAAATTGCCCTTTCCCTTTTCTCGGCGAGTTTTTCATTTCATTGCACCTTGTACTTAAAGCAACGAAAAACCTTCCCCTTGAAAATTTATCATCGCATTATGAGGCGTAACATTCCTTTGCTTATTATTTGCAAACTTTTATCCTCCGGATTCCAAACTTCCGGATCTTCTTACACGAGCCGTATTTTTTAACATCAAAATACATCCCTACGGATCATATTTTCACCCTCCTTGCAGTAAAAATACCTACACGAAGAAACCACTAATCAAATTCTAGTTACTTCCGACCAAGTTATGCAAATATTCTTATTAAGTAAATGGTAACCTGTGATAGTACGGAATTGCTTTTTAACGGCACACATTTGCTGCTAGAAATTGTTAGTGTTGTTAAATGTAATGAAATGTGTTAATTGCGCCACCAGTAGTCATCAACAATAACTAGAAAGCGATTCCGCAAATGACAAATTTAGGGTGTACATGTATAAAAAGTCATTCATATGTCTAGTGGCCAATTTTTACGGTGAATGTATTTTATGAAAAGAGAAAGGTCCCTACTAATCAAATCATTTAATATTTTTTTTTAAATAATTTAATTGAGGTCAATAATGGGAAGAGAAATTAGTTGCGACGACATTTACGAACTCGTCACTTTAGTACTTCTTCATCCGATATGTGGTTGCAATTGCGTGTTGGGAAAGTACACACCGAAAATTAATTTTGCGTACAGTCATTGTTAACCACTGTTCCCTTAATTTATGATCGTAGACTGTTAGCGCATTTTATCTCCCAACATTAATAAAGAACAAAACAGTACTGACGTGCCTCGGAAACTAACTAACCGTTAATATATGCTTAATAACTAAATCAAAAAGATGCACAATGGCCTAAAAGTTAAAGCACAAGATTTGCATTACCATAAGTGGGAAATTTATACAGTTATTCACATTCAGGACTTTGTTTGGTAGAGGATAGCACACACCATTGCATCCAATTAAATAAAATTTGTAGACATTGAAGAGCTCTTTTCAAATATCGTATACCTACGTTCTTCACACTCACTTGCCATTTATTACCATAGCAATTAATTTATAAATGATCTGTGAATTAAAAACTAACATGCCTCAGGTATGACATGGGAGATACACTCAGTCTAGACCTCGTAACTTAAACTTTCCCTTACCAATTACTATAATCCATTGTAGCATATTTCACTTGCTTTTTGTGTTATGATTATAAAATGGAAAGAGAGAAACGGTGATATAACGGTTTTCTGAAATTTTCAGCTATTACAATTGAAAATGTATCCCCAAAAATGCTGTACATCTAGTTAAGTTGAAAAAGTGAAACCAATGTTAATGCACGCCTTAGGCGTAATAAGAAATGTGTCAGAAGTGGTCACCAAGTACCGTCACGAAATACCGACACGTGCATTTGTAAAATTGAATGTCAAATTTATATCCCTGTTTGTACCTACCACGCCTTTCAAGTGAGAGTTGTTGAACGCCTGGAATTTGAGTATCTTTTCTCACGACCTCTAATTGATATAATTACTTGCGCTGGCAGATGTAACAGATTGGGTTGTCCTGTCATCATCTTCTAAAGAGGTTTCAAAAACTTTCTTTTTTTACAAAATTTGGTATCAATGTGAAACCATAAGCCTTTTAAGAGTTACCCAATTGCTAGTGATATTACACAATTTTCTACGCCACAAATTAGTGCATCTATTGCAGATTTTGAGCAACATCTTGTTTGTTTTAACACAATGCATTCATTTACTGTTCTTAGTTCGCCAGTTCCGATGTCCCAAAATGTGCGAACACTCTTAATTAGATAAAAAGTCGATTGCGAGGTCGATTGCTACTATTTCGAAATTTCGAATTTTCTTCATCGCATCTACTTCGACTCAAACTGCGATTTTTGAGGGTAGCGTTTAGGTAAAGCCCTAATGTCCAAGACTATTTTGTAAAACCTGTATCGCCTGTGAGTTTAATTTTATTCTCAGTTTCGTAATTGTGGATATGCAATATCTGTCGAGCATTATCCCTCCTGTTGGAGCAATGAGTACTACACCCGCAACTGCCATTGAGGTCCCTGGTCCCTCTTCACTTAGTGGTGAAGAAGGAAGCAGCAAGGGGAGCAATTAGAAATTGCTCGGAAGTGAGGTGGGAGGAATACACAAAGGTGCAATACACTCAGGAGTTGTACAACAACTAACATTCTTGAACACAGGATTTTAGACTATATGATTCCCGAATACCACCACGATAAGCCCTTTAAAGTGATGATTCGGGATAAGGAAGTCTGTAAAAATAGTCCACAATTTGAAAAAAGAGTCTTATGCTGGTACACAGATGGCTTGAAGTTCAGAAGAAGGTGTGGGAATAGGCATAAGAGAGGCACGCTCTCTCAATGGCCTTAGGAAACACCCCTACAGCTGGTGCGCAGGGGCTACTAGGTGCGCAGATTTACACCTGCACGGAGAATCAGGCAGCTCGCCTTCCTCCTGACCTGCAAGCTGCTTATGGAATGTCACACAAAATTGGAAGAAACAGCCAGGCATAATCGTGTTATGTTAGTGTGGGTACCAAGGAGAAGATCCTCAGATTTTTCAACAAACTACCTCTCTAGGAGTAAAATACTGGGGCACGCGTAGGCGTGGCTGTATCCCAACTCAGGGAGAAATGAAATTATCTTTAAACGACCTAGGTTCAGAGTCCGTTCCTCTAAATAAAGGACCTTATTTAGCCTACGTCTATCTTTGATCAAAGCGTCACAGTGACAGACCACATGCTCGGTTGTTTCATCTGCCTCGCACGTGGACATACCCTCCACAAGCCCAATGTTATGCAGGTGATAGTTGACCATCCAGTACTCCGTCAGGACACAGGTGATCTTCCCAGTCTGGCTTCTATTCAGGTTTAAAAGCTTAGAATACCCATATGTGCCAAGAGACCCTGTTAAAAAGTCCGGTTGTTTGTTACCTCTGAGCCTGGAATTGACTGGTCACCCAGTCTTTAATTCTGGCCCTGACAACGGAAAGAGCAATCCCTAAGGTAGGGTCGGGCAGCGGGCTCGACGAAGATCCCACCACTGCCTTCATGAACCTGTTTGCTGAAAGGGCGCCGGCTGCGTATGAAATGCGGTAACGTCTACGGAGGTTCTCCTGTGCACAGGTCATGATGGCTAACATCAACAGGGTGCTATATGCTAACCAAGGGAGAAGCTGATGTCAGCTCTCGGTCGCTCACCATATATACCCATGCCCGTTCCCCTTTCCGTTAGGGTCCCGTCCGTAAACCACAAGAGCCCCGCAGGTTTGAGGGAGGGAAGATCTGTTCCCTGTTTGGGAGAGCGACTTTATAACTTTTTGGTTTAGTAACATAGCCCGGATCACATCCCGTCTTTCCAGGAGGGGATCGGACCTGAGGGCTCCCCCAAATCCGCCCGTGCCCAAGGGTGCCTCGATCCTTCCACTCGTCTTAATCACTCAACCGTATGACAGGCTTTCGAGCCTCAGCTTGCACAGCTAAGTGTAAGTCCCAGAAGCGCATTCTTGGACAGAGTTGGCGTGATTTTCATGGCTCCAGTGAGTCCCAGACAGGCTAGTCTCTGTACCTTGGCCAGTTGCTTCTTGTAGGTTGCCCTGCGCTATGCACCGTACAATATTATTGGCCTTATCACTACAGTGTAAAGTCAATATACCAGCAGAGGGGACATGTACAGCCAAAAGCCCTTTTACATGCCCATAGACATGCAGTGACCTTTTTTTTCTTATTCGCGCAATGTGACCTTTTCAGGTCAGGCGAGAGTCTATGATAGTTCCCAAATATTTTACCCAGTTGACGTCCTTGCAGAGTTAGCCCATCAAGGTCCGCTCTCCTTCTATTCGTAAATGGTACAGCCTCGGTCGGTTCCGGGTTAAAGGTGAGGCCATGGTTACTGCACCACCTATCCACCTGTTCAAGAGCCATCTGCATGAGCACTTTCACGGCGTTTAGAAATTTTCTAGCTATGACGATCGCGTGAACGTCCGCGTATCCCTATGTATACGCTCCGTCCTCGTTCAGAGTGCGGAGGAGCCCATCTAGCGCCAGGTACCACAGCAGTCTGGAGGCAACACTCCACCCTGCGGACATCCTTTAGTGACCCAGGAACTTATCTCCGTCGTCCCGATTGAGGCTATAATGACCCTGCTTCCGAGCATGGCGCGGATCCATATTTTACGATTGCACGATCAATATCGAAGCCTTCATACAGCGGCATCGAACGTGTTAAAAACAACATCGATGAGAAAGGAACGCTTCCAGGGCTACCTAACGTAGATCAAGGCGATGTAACATTACAAACAGAAGATGGATTTCTGAATTATAGCACCTTGAAAGAAATATGCAAATCTTTAAAAAACCCTAAAAAAGGAAAAGCTAGACCAGTCTTGTACTTACCCCTAAATGGTTATTTGGTCAGTCGGTAGGGTCTGAATTAAATATTGTTCGTGCGATGCAAAAATAACTGCCTTTTGAATGAATTGACTTGAATTTCTGTGCCAGTAATTCAGAAAGGGACTATCCCTACTAAGCCGGTTTTGAATTATCGTCGTTCTGGCAGTACCCATGGATTAGCTCCATCCTAAATAGCGTGCCGCTAATTACTAACACTACGGAAAATGTCGCCTTCAACAAGTATTGGATTCGTTTCCCACGACCTTGTGAATTTAGGCCAAAGCGTGCAATCCATAACGTCAATTTCGTTGTGGGTGTATCCTGCATAGTTGAAATTGAGTTGGAGATTGAGACCATTTCTGAATCGACGAAATTTCACTGGTGTAGGTCAGTATTCTAGTGGTAAACTGACCTTCAATATTAAAATGAAAAGGAATACGCATATACACTATTTTTAACTCTGACCTTTTGAAACTTTTAATTCTAAAGAACGCTTAGCTTCCTAGTTCGCACTAGGTGGCTATTGCGATCACCGTTTTTTAAAATTTTGAATAGGTATATTAGGCATAAGGATTAAACAAAAATTTTTGAAACGCCGCAATGGTATCGAAACCTTTTGCCAGGTTTTATTACGAAAAAATCTCTTCTTCGGCAAAACGGTTATTTTGAGGATTGCCAAAAAGTATGAGTTTTTAGCGCCATGACGTCATTTGAAATACTAACCAACATTTTTTATTAACCAGCGAAGTTTTAGAGTGGTTACCCATTTATTTCATTGTCGTTATTTTTTTATAGTGGGCGGAGTGTTAGCGAAGCAGCTACTCTTCCCACTCAACAGTCAATTTAAATCCGTGCATCAACCGCTGTAGACAATAAATGAATTTGGAACAATAACCACAACAAAAGTAAAAAAAGCGCGTGGAGCCCGATTATCGAGATAATTAGAATTATTAATTTAATAAAATTTCGTTTTTACCTGAGTATAACAGAGACATGGAATTCGGAATAGCGGGTTATATACGATACTTTTGAAACATTTTGCCTACAAAAGGTATCAGTTTCAGAGGATGATTTATTGAGGTTTAACTGCGAGAAGAATTGGGGTGTAGCGTCCGTTTAGTTTGTGATTTGAGGTAAACATTGCGACTACCGGTTTCGCGATCTTATATTTGAATGTCAATTAATTTATATACAGTGTGTCCCATTTATCTTGAGATTATTGGGGAAACTAGCGCAGATATAAAAAAAAAAGGATTTATATAAAATATTATTCAGATGGAGGGGCCCATTTAATGATGCTATGCAATGTTCACTTAAGGATCAAGTCAACTTAATTGTTTCAATTAGAAACGTACTTTTTATTGAATATTCTTATTCGCGGGAAACGTTTTTTCCCGACACTTGCCATGTTTTGAAGACACTCTTCCAAAAGCGCGATTTCTGGTTTGAGGTATAGGAAACTGTTCTGTAAAGACTTTGGCACATTTTTTTCCTTCATGGAACCCATTGGCAACTAACATTGTTAGTGTTTGCTTCACATTTTTGCTACCCAATAGCCAATTTTGATCCACTTGGAAACCAAAATATCCATTCGACTATGGAAAAACCATTGAGGAAAAACTTGAGAAAATAAATTTTTGTATTGGTACCTACCTATTTCAAAACAGAAAGCGAGTAAATTGATCATTTACCAATATGGAAAGGGGAATCGTTGTAACGCACTTTGTACACATTACACGCAGCCATGTAAGTCACGTAAAAATCTGAGTTTGGGACTATCCTTTTATGCGGCTATGAATTTGCAATTTACTACGATGCCAAAGATAAGTGTTTATAATTAGGCTCTAAAAAGGTGCGCACATTGTTATTCTCGATTGAATTCTTCATTCATACTCGAAAAGGGAAAGCGAGTGCGACATTGTGCGTTCCATTTAAGGCTCTATATTTTCTATATTGAGACTCGAAACTTTTTAATCCCGGCTTGGATGTACAGTTTTAATGGTCTGATTGCACTTTCCACGAATTTTCTGGCATAATTAACTTATCCCGGCTCTGAATAAAAAAGTATGTGTTAACTACCAGACCGCACATTTTCATGTGAATCTCATTGTAAGATGCTATTAGTGCGGTTCAAAACGCTTACTAACACAGTTTTTAAATACATTTTAAATTTGGCAAGTAACAGTTACGTTTTTTACAGGTTTCAGTAGAATTCGCATAAAGTCCATTGGCTGCTCAAACGTCAGTTTCTATAGATATACGTGAAAGTCCATTACTTGTTGTGTGTGCAAATTATCATTGTCATACTTATGTTCTATGCAATTGTTGAAACCAAGCGCTTTGTAATACAGTTAACTGTTCTTTAAAACTAACTAGTTTAATTGTTTCCATTAAAATTCAGCAAAGTACTTGACCTTTCTTGATAACATGTATTAGACAAGAAACGGCAAAGTTAATTTGGCTGAGAGTCAGGGTTCAATAATATTATAAATTAATTTCCAAAAACACTCTAATACCTACAAACCTAATTAGTACGTGACGTGTACATGAGTTTGAATTGAATACGTTTCGCACTAAACGTCAATAGATGCGTTAATTTGAATAATTAAACAATTGCGATTTAGGTTGCTAAACTGGGTCGATTTTCTATTTAAAATCCTTTTTTTTTTGTTAATTTTCATGTGTCCATCAATAGTTTTGATTGTGTACCACCTTTTGCTTATATACCGTGAAACATTAACGTATTAAAAATGTAATTTGAAAATTTAAATTTTAAGGAAGGTTGCCTTTGCATGCTGTTCCAATGACTGAATGTCATGGAACATTGGCTTGCAAGTGTTTTAAAGCCAAGTAAGTTTCTTTAACTCTATAATGCACTATAATTCTATTCGTTCAGCTATAATTACGGCTAATTATGTTATTAAGACACCTATTACAAGTAGGTAAATTATTTCAAGTCTTCTTCAGATGGTCAATAATCAGATGTGACTGATGTACTGCATCACAAATATACCATAGATCAGTCTTCTGCAGTGTGATACTGGACACTGATTTGGTTAAAAAATCTGTATAAGTCGACGGTATATGTATACTTCTTAGACTATACGGTTGCAATTAAAAAAAATGCAATGTTACTTTCACTATGGATAACAGAATACAATTGTTCGTTTATAGTAAATCTTAAAATACCGTGAAATTTGCTATTATTTTTTGTTCTATTGTTTCGTTGAGAACTAAAAATACAAGACTTCCCCTTAGCACTTTTGCGTTACATCATTTCAATACAGACGCTCTTCATCGAAATTGTGAATTGAAGTGAGTGCTTAATTAATAATTAATATTACATTTGCTAAGGCATTTGTTTTGACGCTACGATTACGTAATGTTTTACCTTGACTCAAAATGTGTGCCATGAAATTGTTTCTTTGATATTATTCCGTGATAATTTAGTCAAATACAGTTTGGGCTTATTTTCAGGTTTTCAATATGACTGGACGACTAGTAAATTTTGGAAATGGGGAACAACGGTAGTCGAACAGGGCACATTTCTCATCAGCTCGAAGCGGAAACGACGTGGACACAATCGTTTCCACGAAGTACCCATGGAGTTTATCACCAACACAAGGTGCTGCCCGAAAAGGGAATAACTAAGAAATTACGTTCTACAAACAATGGTGAAATTTTGCATGCAGGTGGAACCATATCCGGAAGGCAACACCATCAGAAAACCCTATCCCTAGAACGCGAAAATAAGTCATTTGTTAGTTCATCAAGATAAATGTTTTCGATAACTTACAAAGTTTTGTTACTAGAAAATATTCAGAACGAGCAGTGTGTCGTCCAATCCCTCTGACGATCCCCGAGAGTATGGAGAAAGACCATACCCGCGCTACGTGTCGCACTATGGCGGCGTTAACCGGTATGCTGCCCAACGACTCGAAAATAGGAATTTGTATAGAGAGCAGATGAAGAAATATGGATCAGAACCGGACTTGCGGAATTCTCCAAGCGACCGCAATGAAAGTGGAAGATATAAAGGCAAAAAGAAATACAAGGCGCCAGCACCTCCGAATCATGGACCGGTAAGTATTGAACCTCACTATACTTCTGTAAATAATATGGGCCATGCTGCTTATTGGGTGTTTCTGTATTTCCCTGCAAGGAACACTAATATTAATCGTACTCCTCCTATCTTGCTTATACGTGAAATAATTTACTACCTACATCACACATCATTACTAAAAATGTCGTACGAATTTGTATTACCAGGATTTAATTTGAAGGATACAAGACCCATTGTTTATCACTTCCTTTCCGTACAAAAGCAGTGGAAAACACTCCCCCGAACTCATGTTGATTAAAGTGAAATGGTCAAATCGTTTTCCAGCTAGAAAAATTAAATTGCTACCAGTGGAACGAGAGCACATCGGACCCTATAGTGAGGCGGAGTCGATTATTTAAAACTAAATCGGAGTTACAAAAAAGATGTTCTAGTCCTATAAATGTAGAAGATGCGTTCAGCGAGACAAAACACAATAGCTCTAGCAAAAGTAATCCTAGGAATACGTTAAATGTACAGTTAAGAAATAATAGTAGGAAATGTGATACAAATAACAGACTATCGTTGCCTGAAATAAACAGGACCAGTGCGGTTCCCGAATTTCAGTCCGAGTTAAAAGAAGTAGTGCAACGACTAAAAAGTACAAAACGAAACGAAAGTCCGAAAGACGTAAACAAGTACGATAGCAAAAATGAAGAAAGCGCGAAAGAAAAAATCAAAACATTAGATCATAATATTAGCAAAGCTGATCATGTAAAGTGTAAATTACAGTTACTAGATCTAACTAAAACAGATAATCAAAATCTACTAAATACGTACAGTGATCGAGGACAGCCGTCGGGAAAAGAATCTACCCCAGAAAAGAAAGAATATCGCGTGGATTTGGAGAAAAAGGAACAGCCTTCAAAGCTGTATTATTTTGGAATGAAGGAGTCTGTGCACGCAGACTTTGTGACTACCGACTTTACGGTCACCAACACAACGTTTCAATCGTACAAAGATATTTACCCGCATCACAATTCGTCAGGATCTGATTTATCTAGTGAAATGGAAATGGACGGTAGTCACATGTCGACTAACGGGATTGCTCTGCAACTAAGACCAATATTACCAAAGAAGCAGCTAGAAATACCTAGGTTTTCTCCGGCGGCCGCGTGGAAGCAGCTATCCGCGGTAGAATCGAATTTCACACCCAGCACCGCGGCCAGTGAGGATCTTCCAATTTACATGGAGGACCGCATCGAAAAGTTATCGCGCCAACCACCACCACCAACCGCACAAACTGGACCGCGATCTAGTTATGACAAGTCTGGAGATTCGGGAATATCGGGAGACGCCGGTCCAGTTGGATTTGACGACAGTCCAGACGGAATGGAAATTAGAAATAACATAGACGTAAATTGTTTTATGTTTGTATGTGTAGTATAATCATTATTGTAATCGTAGTTACCCCTAGTTTTGAATAGAAGCCAGGGCTTGTCGTGGACTCCCCAGCAAGATCTTGGCGAGGACGAATCCACTTCAGACGAGGACATAAACACTCACAACGACCATATCCTTAAAGCGACATCAGCAAAATTTACTCCCAAGACAAACGTTTTTAGCCTATCACTGCCTCGAGATAACCAATTATCCTCATATATCAGTAGTAAAGTCCTTAATATAGTTTTCATTTAATTACCAAAAGTCTGTTTCAGGAAATTTTGGAAATCCTAAAGATACTGACGTACCGAACTCATTTTCTTACGAATGTGGGAATTGGCTTTTAAGTAAATCAGCGCCTAATTCGTTAAATAATGGTTTGAATTCTTTAGAGGCCCCCAAATCACATAAAGTGGAAGAGCCAAAACCACAGGTTTCAAATAACGTCAGTAGAGTAATGTATCTCCCAGAGTCTGATAACTTGTACAAAAAAAACCAAAATATGAAAAGTGAAAGGTCACGTTGTAAGGAAATATTTCGCGAACGTTCGAGAAGTGTCGAGTCTTCCAATCTGAATAACTTATCACACTCTGGATTCTCAAAATCATTCGAGAACCTGATCTCTCACGCGGAGTCATCTTGCGAACCAGAAAACTTGCAAGATCCTCCCCATAAAAAAGTTGAAGCCCTAAAGGTGTACAAGCCCAAACGGTTTACCTTTCAAAGTACAATTCGACAGATTGAGCGAAAACGTTTGGCAGAGAAACTTTCGAAGGAAGCCGAAAAGAAAGAGAAGCAACGGTTAAGCGAATTGGCGGCCATGCAAAAGGTGGAGGAAGAGTTTCAACGTAAGCGAGCAAGGTAGTAATAACCAAAGTTCAATGTATTTATCATTTATGGCCAAATATTTTTGTAGAGAAAAGGCGTCCATTCGTCAACAGTTGCGATTGTTTTCATTAGACGATACTGTTTGGTCAAACGGGCAATCTAATGACGTGAAAGACGTTCCAGTAAGATATACACCTTTTATCTTTAAATAAAAAATCACTTTTATGTTTATATTTATAGAAGTAATAACATAATAGTAGTATAACACAAGTACCTGAGAAAATTAGTTTATGAAGAGCAAATGGTTTAAATTTGCACCTTATAGTTCAGCACACTGTTCAGGAACTTGCACGTGACGCCGAATTGACTTTCTCATACCATAAACATTAAAATAAAATTTGTCGAAATTTATAAAGTATGTTCCTATTTTAGATAAATCGGTTGGGGCTTCGTACTGGTTTCTAAACTTCAACTTACAGTCACTGGTAATGTGTCTCTCAGCACTATTTATGTTTTAATTGGCTCTTCTGGAAGCATGTTTGCTACTTTGTTACTCGCAACCTTAACGTTAAAATGTAAAATATGATTCTTAAATCCCATTCCAGGTGCGGCCAGATCCAGATGGTGCCGTTTCTTCGGCAGCTTCTTCTCCAATGATGCCATTCGAAAAAAAGATTAACTTGCGCGCCGAGGAATACCCAGAAAGATCGCATCGGCAACGAGTACCGTCGGAATTATCGGATGAAAATGTTAAAAAAACACAGATGACACTAATTCTGTCCGAGTACCGGCAGCCCCAAAGAGAGTATAAAGATTTTCGGGGGAGCCCTAGATATATGGCGGAATTTGGTGACGCACACCACCCGAAACAAACGACCATTCATCCGCAAGTAACCTGCAACATGCCAAAAGCGTCAAATACACAACGTGAGGTTTTGGTTTTTTTAATTGTAGGCGTTTTAATGTTGTAATTGTAGCAGAAGGTAGTTCAAATTATCGCAAACAGTTTGCGCACGGTGTAAAAACCAATAGGTCTGGAGATAGCACGTATTCGGATGACTCGCAACCAGTAAACAGGAATAGTTCACCAAAAATCTATCGCAGTGAAAGAACGCCAATTTCAAGGTATGAGACACAATGATCAATACATTTTAAAACCAATTTTCAGGTTTTAAAGGACCATAACGCAGGATTAAAATGATATGCTCATTTATAACAATTTTAATTACTTATTTGTTAGTTTTATTTGTTATTCAACCATTTGTTGCATGTACAAGTTTTTTTTACATAAACTATCGTTACTTCGTGTACCTTGATGTGTATTATGTGTAATCTATACATGTTAATATTTATAACTTAGCTAACTAAGGAAATGTAATTATATACCCATTAATAATAAAACTGAAAAAAATGGCGGTTCTTTTTATGTGTTGGGACGTGCGACACAATTGAAAAGAGAATTGAATAAATCAGTTTTGTGCGTAAGAAAAGACAAGAACAAATTAAATACATTACGCACACAAGAAAAGGTCGGGGAAAAAACCTTCATTGAAAAAAAAACCTGACATAGATACAGGAAATAAATCAATTACGACAACAAAATGCAAGAGAAAAAGACAGAAATCAGATATAGAGTCAAATCAAGTCAAATTAAAAACCAAACACCGCACCGTCGGCCAGGCGACACAGGGGAGAGCAGCGTATACAGGGTGGCGACTGGGATTATAGGGATTTCAAGGTAAAATTCATAACAGGCGATTATTGGCTCCCCAAATTACTTTAGAGCAAAAATGTATTAAAGTTTTTTGTAGAAAAAATTTTTTTACGCCTATCAACCGTATTAGTTTGCATATTTTTGCATAATAAAGTCGGAAAATTGGAAAAATACAACCCCCATCTTTTTCAATTATCAAAGAAACATTAGTTCCAAACCATCATAAGTTAATCTATAGTGGTCCGAACCCGAATTTTTCTGATCTGAACTCTACAACGGCCCATTGCCGAATTCTGTTCCTGATTAGCTAAGTTCTACCGCGGCTTTCCCGTACTGCCCCAAACTCTCTTCTAGTTTTAATCCCTACTCCTCTTCAATTTACAAAAACACCCACAAAATGGCGCCCAGTAATTAAATCCCATTCGTTTACATCAACCAATGCCACGATCGCTAGTAAGTCAAAATCTTGCGGTTATTGAATTCTGCAAATTGGCGCTTCACAGGGACTCGCAGTGACAAACGTGTAACAACCATAACAAATTCTTCATTTCTTTCTCATTTTTTTTGCAACCTTGTATCTTGAAAAGTATAACAGGGTGTTCTATTCAGTTTTGTCTCAGAATTACGCCTCTTTTGTCCGCGGACGCCCAATTTTGTAACACCCTGTATACATTCTCATTCATTTCCCAATCATTTATCGCACATATTGTGTTTTATTCCAGAAAGTTTTCCTAAGTCCTACAGCTTTATGGCAGCAGCAGTAAATGGTTGAAATTAATACACTTATCTATCACTATAGAATGTACTCATCGTATGTCGAAGGTGTCAATTGGATTTCGCGCAATAATCATTTATAATTTCAAACCGGTTTTTATTAATACTTGAGACATCTGTTACTAAAAATTATAAATCTTGCTATAAAAATCTTACAGGGTAAGTTGAATGTGTAGTCGTTTATGTGCGAGTAGAAATCTGTAAATAAAAGTATTCTAAATGCCTTTGTGTGAGTTATTGATTCGTTTTGGGAACCCACAAGTCGGTTATTGATCTCGCTATATTCAAATTCTTTTTTTTACACACAGATGCCAGTAGGTCAGAATGTGGGTACCATTTTAGAACAGGCCTGTTTTTATGTCTTGTAATCACATAGGATTCTAAGGGAGAAAAGTCAACAAATTTAATTCTGTAAAATCTATATATATGAAATGAGCATGGGATTGTTGCCGTAGCCCATCTTCCTACAGGAAATTTGCGCTACTATTTTACATTTATCCGTCTTCATTATGCAAAGTACCTCTTCAACAATGCGTTTTGTTTATTGCGATTCCATATTTTGTGTACAGTGAACAAACTGTGGATTACCCTCAGGTGGCGTGGGTGCAGAAGAATGGAAAGCTACATGCAAAGTACGGTATTGTTATTCACGTGGATAGACTAATAGACTTCTATACTTCTTTTGAGTATAACATCACTGCTAATACTGTGTTCAGATTCTCACCAAAAATAATTCGTTAAGTATGGCAATTTTATTTTTCAGGAGTGAGTAGGCAAATTAAAAAATGTATGTGCCATATATTACCCCGCATGCAGGCGGTCAACAATTAAAATAAGAGATCTTAAAATTGCTTACAGTACTTCTGTACAAATTTATCATAAAAAATGACGAACTGCGTCCTCAATTAAACAAATAAAACCCCCACTTCTCCAATATGAAACGCGCAATCCTTCAAAACATCTTAGTCTTTGTTATCAAAACCAGATGTGCATTTCCTTGAAATCAATTAACTCTTGCCTGATAAACATTCCTTTTTTAAATAACGCAATCGACCAGAAAAGCCAACAACGCCCAACTAAAACATTTTATTATCTACAAGATTTGGAATGGTTAAACAATTGATAGAGGGGAAGTCTATGCAATAGAGAATGTTAAATCTGGAATGGAACGTGAAGAAATCGCGGATCCATTAATGAGAATGGAAGGCTGGTGTTGTAATGTATACTGTAACGTAAATTTTATTACGTCATTTTATTTATTACAACTAATTAATAACAATTTTAAAATCGATTAATTTATAACAGTAATTATTCGTTATCACTGTTCGCTTTAGGGCAGCTACTTGAGAAGTATGGTAAAAAGTAAAAACGACTGCAGTTAATCTTTATAGATCTGGAGAAAGCCTACGACATGGTGATGTAATGTGGAGGGCATGCATGATATATGAAGCACATATACCAGGGTAAGATCAAGTGTTGGAATGACGGATAGGTTTCATATGGGAGTTGGAGTGCATCAGGGATCTGCGCTCGGTCCAGATTAATTTCATGTAATAATAGACGTGCTGACGAAGGAAGCGCGAGAACAGGCACCTTGGGATATGCCCTTTGTGGATAATGTAGGAATTGCAGTTGAGAGCAAAGAGAAAGTGCAGGAAAAGCTGGAAAGATGACGTTGAGGATTTGTACAATAAAAACGGAGTACATGTGGTTTGGACGAGAGGGCAGTACTGGTAGCATCCAACTAGAACAAGGACTGGTTAGAACTGGAGAGTTCAGATACCTCAGCTCTTACGTTACTGACAAGGTCCCGTACTAGACAGGGAAATTAATCACATGATTCAAGCAGGTGATAGGATTAGGAAAGAGATTAAATGGAGAGTGTTTAAATTTAGTGCGGACAGCAATAAATTCGATAAAGAAACCCTACGAAAGGAGATTGAAGGTGGCTGACATATGAGAATGTTGAGGTGACGGTGGGAAAAACTAGGAGAGGCAGAATTCGGAATGATACAATAAGGGAGATGGGCGGAAGACTGCAATGGATTGGACATGTATAATGAGAACATGTACCCTATCATTTTACTCGTACTTTGAACAATATTTATTTATCAATGGTTTTCATTATTTTTCAGACTGTCGTTGGCAGAGTAATGAGTTCTATAGATGCTAGAGAGCTTTACATGTCAACGTTTGTATTTTAACATCTCCTTTAGCAATATAAGTCATGTTGAAAGCTGCCAGAAGAACGTTCTTTGGTTTTTGATGCGCTAATTAACAATCATCCAGTCTATGATTTGCTCAATTGGAAGACATCTTGATCTTAGATCGCATTCTTGCACGATCACATAGGTTTTTGTGACACCAACGTCCTTAACTTGATGCGACATCCAACATTAAAGACGTCTTCACCCTCTCGGCAAAGAAGTGAGGGTTCTTATTTAGAAAAAGGGGTTGTTGGTTTTAACAATTTATTATCTAATACTGTAAAGTAACATAAAGGTATTCAATCACAGTTGTTTGCACCAACTATATACAATGACATTATATAACAACGCCAAGTTTGGTTTCAGTTTTATGGTAAACAGTTAACAAAAACTATTTCTATCTAGTAATGGCACATTTTTGTTGAGGCATCCCCTCGCCTATCATTGACCTTTAAGTACTGCCGACAGGTCATTATAATTATATCATTGCGTACAAAATAGTAAGAAAAAATAACACATTAAATAGTAATACTGAATTAAATGAATAAGTTCTTAAAATACTGGTTGATAAGGGTGTCCTATGGCGGTTAAAAACGTAAACGCCAAAACCAGTAGACATGTGCCCAGTAAATCGCCAGTCGCGGTTAGGAAGGGTATAGCCGCGTTATCCGGATTAATTTTTAATTTCCACAGAAGATGCGTTAGTATATGAGCAGCATACAGGAGAATTATGATTTGGATCAGCGAGACTCCAAGATAAGCGGAAATAAATGCCGGAGTGATGCAGGAAACTCCTTTGTTGTAAATAATGTCAGCAACGAAAATAAATAATGTTTTTGCAGGCAATGATATTAAAATCAAGATCCGCGCTGCTTTTGCAGAGAAAACTGAAAGGGTGCGTTAGTATGGTAGTTGTTTAAGCCGTGTGGCATACCTCCGCTAACTAGTGCTGTCCATGGAGTTACGCACAGTTTAGTGTGGGGTGGAATTATTCCAGGAAGAGAACTTTTTTGTAACATGGTTGATATTCGGCTCGTATGCACTGATGCCAAATTACCTCCAATACCATTAATTATTGGCTGAAATACGACAAAGCCTCGAAATTGTCCTACAGCGCTGTCGAGTATTAAACCGCCTAACCTGAAAAGAGACGAGCAACATTAGAATCTAAAGGTTTTGCAATGACCAAATGTAAATGCAAAGCCTTGCCCAATATTATAAGATAAATGGTTTCAGCAAGAGATACTGATTATCGTTCATAACCGTAGCCTAAAAATAGATCGATCACACGATGAAAAATCGCGAAAATCTTAGAAATGTCGTTGTTCATATGGGAACTAAAAAAATTAGTTGCTTGGTAACTGATTTAGATGAAATTAATGGAAAGCGGGTATATCATTCAACAATTTACAAAGTTCAAGTTTCGAAAGAATTTTTCAATTGTTTGATTAGATACCAAAATCGCGAGTTTAAGGTTGAAGGTGCGCGCGCGAGACAATTTTTTAGAAACTTACCCTGAAATAAACAAAGCCGAAAAAACTGGTATCCATCCTTCTGTTAGTATATGCTTGGTGTACTTGTTTTTTATTACGATACATGTCCAAAAGGGCAAAACTGCAAATATGTATATACCACAAATCGCATAACATATCCAAGGCAGTGTTTCTGTATCAAAACGATTCAATGTAGTTTCCAAAATGTATGTAAGTTTTGCTATTTACCGCGATGTAGATAAACAGCTCCAGCAAAAAGAGATAGTGCCGACAAAGAAACGACATCGCCTATGCTAGCTGCGCAAGAAGTTGCAAAGTTGTCTGGGTTCATTCCATGCTTGAATGACATCACAATAACAGAGCACAGTACAATATCTAAAAAGGCACAGCGGTGGTGATCACTTATGGAAATAAGAATATTTACCTAATATAAAGCACGAAGTACTTGCTGTTAAAATACTGCAGCTTGACACATAGACTATATCTTCCCACAGTACAGAGTGTTGCATAAGGAGAGCAGAAATTAGTACGGCGTATACAGATACAACTACCGCTGCGACAATCGCCTGTATCTAAAAGGAAGATTTCTTTAGTAGAGATCATGCATCTCTTGACAAAAAATGCATTACACACCCTTACTAATTAATACGAATACACCACAGTGTACAAGGTAGCACTAACCTGTACGAGCCCGATATTTCCAATAACCATCTTCATTATCTGCTTTTTGCTATCCATTTGGCCAACATTAGCAGCTGTGGACAACCTTGTTGCCAAGCACATATCCAGATTACCCTTTAACCCGATAATTGCCGGAACCAGTATATACAGGGAATCAACTTTTTTGAAGATTTCTTCCTTCTAAAAACCGACAGATGCTAGATTACGACCTAAATATTTACCATGTGCTTACCTCCGTTTTTCCTAGAACGAGTCCAGCTCCAATTGTTCCAAATCCGGCGAGTATAAAAGGAATGAATACCTGAAGCGTAATTGAATACCACTTCTCGTCACTATTTGAATACTCCCAATTTGAGTCGCGATCAGACAATTTGGTTGACTCCAAAGTTTTCATCGATACGCCAGAGTTGATCGACGATTCATCGTGGGAGAATTCGGTTGTGATACCTAATGGGGCATCCGTCACTTCAAAAGGGTCATCTGTGTGCTCTGTTCCATCGCTCTTTATGGTAATTGAATATATAGAGCCATTATCTTCTAAATCGGACACAATAGCCAAGTTAACTACTCCGTTAGCGTTTCCCGCTAATCTATCGTTAAGCTGTTCTTCTTTCTCCAAATTTAGATGCAGCATTGCTGTAAGGTTCATTATATACTGTCTGCAAATGTGAAATATAGAGCGATAAGTGACATAAACTGCCTTTACGTAGGTAATTGTTATAGATCTTATGCAGTCAAATATTAAATACAACAAAATCTTAAGCAAGGGTTATATCTTCCAAAATAAAAAGGTGGGCGGCCTACATTAGACCAAATGAATACCACTAACTAACTCCTCATACCTGGTAAGCTCAGCAATAGTTTCCTTCGTGGTGGTGAAGGAGTTACGAGTTAGAGGACCACATAGCATACGGTGCTTCATCGCACAGACGGTTTGACACTAATTGCGCAGTTACGCAAATAAAGCTAAGTATATATATTTAAATTACAATACATTCGAATATTGATCCTATTGTTAATTAAGTATTTTTAGTTTCTCATAATTTAAATATTTCAATTGTGATAAGAAATGAAAGTCTCATTAGTCATTAATTTAATTAAAGGAAAACAAAAAGAGATTAAGTACATTCAATTAAAAATAAAAAACCACGCGGGGCTACTGTTTAGGGTTTTTAGTCGTCCGGTACTCCGTTGTACATGAGTAACTGATCAAATAGTGGGAATGCTTGACCCTAATGAGGAATGAAATTTGCAAAAGTCGCAATAGTCATTAATTATAGTAAGAGTAAACCAAAAAGGCGTTATATTTCAACAGAACACATATGTGCATAAACCTGGCCGCACCTTTGCGTCAAACTGAAAAATTTAGTGCTGATAGTGTGATAGTTGTTGCAATCCTATTTGTGCTACATACAGAGTGACTAATAAAGATGGAACCAAAGCGATGGTGTGAAAACGGTTGGAGAAAGTTTTACGACATAAATAAGATGTGTTTGTGCATATTCTAGCATGAAAAAAAATTTTTTGTCCCGTATGGTTTTTGACACGGCCGCCATTTTGTTTTTTTAATGGCAACATAGGTCTTGCAACACATCGTTGGAAAGCTTATTTTGTTTTCAGTACGAATATGCAATAGGAAAAATACGGTTATGCAAAACTAACTAATTTATTTTTTATTAGAGAAGAAGAATTGTTATCTTTTTTTGAGTTCCACTACATTTTTATCAATTTTAGTTTATTACAAATTGTATTACCTCCTCTTTCTAAAATTTGTAATCGATAAACAATCTACAAAACAGTTTTCGAATTTTGCATAATTAGATTTCAACTCAAACGTATTCGTTTAATATTAGTAGTTATTTAATCATTTTTGATTTTTGATTTAAAAAAAAAATCGGCTGTGGCTCGTAAAATATTCATCCGATTAAAAAACTTTAAAAGCGAAATTTTATGCTCTATAACTTTCGTAATAACTACTTTTAACGTAGGTGGCACTGGAACGGAGAAATTCGGTCGCTCAAGGTCGCAAACTCAGGGTATTATTCAGGACCCCAAAATATAGTAATCTACCAAGTTTTAAAACTCCTTGACTTTTTGCAAGATCAAACCCTATTGTGACTGGACTATTTTACTACATGTGCTATGTTTGTCTTTACTTGAAGCATCTATGATTAAAAAAAAGAAATGTCTATGAAGTTGGCATTGTGCAGTCTGCGCATGCGCGCACATGATTTTTACCATATGCGATATGATTGCCTTTACTAGAAGCCTCTGTTAAAATTTCAACAAAATATATTAATAAATAAGAAAATTGATATTGCGCAGCCTGCGCATATGCTTCGTTTCTTCTTAGCTGAAGTGCCACAGCTATAAGCAACGGAATTAAAAAAGAATTAGGTTGGAAAATGCGCTAAAAATGTACATAGCTAATAATTGAATAATTGAAGTTTCTACACTACCACTGCAAATGTTTCTCTAAATACATCTGTGAATAAATGACCACTATCGAAATTAAAGAATATATACCTACATATAAAAATGAGAAAGATACAAAGGTATATAATATGGTAATAGCTTCTACATTTATCCCTTAATCAATTTCAATGTTAATAAAATAATCATTAGAGGGATTATAACAAATTGATTTACACTAATAACCAGTGTTTTTGTAAATTAAGTTTCCGAATAAGTGCATTTGAATATTGAAGGCAGTGTAAGTTACTTACCCTCTGTAATGTTCACCTTTTAAAATGGTACGCGCCGGTAAGGTTGAATTCCACCCAATAGGAGAACCGTCAGATTGTCAATTTTTTTCGGCCTTTTCTTTATTATGGGTTGCGACTCTGGGCTACATCCAAAGACGCTAGAGGATCTAAAAACAATAAAAAAAACTTATTACTAAATTTGTTTCAATACGGTTACTTTTATGTAGTGGGATGTTGCAAGATATGGCTATAACACGTAATGTAATGGTTATAATCTGCAAAATTTAAAAAGTATAACCTTGCACACTTTTGTTAAAATTGTCAATGGTAATTTTAATGTTAGTCGGGAAGTGTTATTAACAATTTCATTGAAATTCAAATGTATCATATGAAGCAAAAAAAGTAATTTCAATTAACTGTAAATTTGATGAACAAATGGATTATGATGTCATCGGGGGTGAAATAATAATTCTTAGGATAGGAGGTTGTAATAAAATTTAACAAAGGCTACGTAAGTTTTCGTTTCGTAGTAATAACAATAACAATGATCTCCATTGGTGCACAACATTTGAATTAATCTATGACATTTCTATAGGCATACCCAATCAGGCGCGAGTGCTCATTGCACTTGAGCTTTAATATTTCGATAATCAACGGAGGTGCACAAAGATCATTGAAGTTTGTTTGCACCTTCATTACCTTCATTTAGGGTGGGCAATCGTTTGCACCTGCGGTTATGTGGAAAGAGTTAAATCGTTATCGAGTTACTTGGTCAATGAGAACAATCGATTATCACATTAATCCAGTCCCACATACGCGCAATACATATAGTGAGGTGAGTGTTCCAAAACAAAATTTTAGAAATTTACAAATATTTTGAGTCTTCCGTTATACAGGTACAATGTCCTGATTATCGCTAAATCTTAGTTGCGTGCAATTTATTATAAGTGTAAATTAAACAAACAGTCTTGCGTAAGTATGTAAGCCATAATCGGCGAGGTAAAAATTGTGCTTTACAGGGCGTTATCTGATTACATTGTTTGTATTGCATTATACTTTTCTAATAGCAATATAATTGCGTTAGTGATCTTAAGTAAATAGTGGTTACGATAGGAATCAAAGTGAAGGTCAAGATCAAGGTTTGCAAATGACAATGTATAGAATAGGTATGGGTATAATTTATAGCTGAATGATCCTTTTACAAGCCTTTGTGTATCGATAGTTAATCTGTATCAGGTTGAAGAGCTACAATGATGGTGCATCGATCATATCGCTAATTTTTTCAACAAAACAAAATCATTGGATTTCACTACCTACTCTCTTCACCAAATGCATCAACTAAGTTTGCTAGAGTTATCCAGAAATCCGGCTCAATTCATTTTTCGCATTCCTGGGATTTTGCACGAAATTTTGGTATACTTACTTGACATAAAAACTTAGAGCTTCAGCCAGGTTGAAAAACTTAATATATTAACACTTTCAGACTTTGTCACCAAGCGTGATCACACAGATATTGTCAACCGAGAGGTTAGGTAAGTACTAAACTCCAACAGATAATGCTCCTCATTTAAGGCTAAGTACTTGTAGATAGCATATCTGACGTAAGACTGCACTAATTCATGAATTAACCGTGATTCATTATATTTCTAATCAATATCACAAAGGTCACTGAAATTACTACCTATCCGGAAAAGGGGATGCTCATCTCTAAAAAAACCGTTTTGCAATGCCAACTACTCCCATTGTCCATATTTTACCTAGTTCCGTGGGAAAATACATAGTAATTACATCTGGTCAAAAACTCGTTTATGATTGAAATTATCTCAAAATACGTGAAGGTGTTTATATTTACTAATCGTGTTAAATATTCAGGGTACATGTTTAAACGTGGAAACAATCGCGAACATTATAAGTACTCGGGTCCTTCCCAATGGATGGAATTTCTGTTTTATGGCATGCCAATGAGTTTCGCAATGATAAATTTTCAGTCAATTGCTTCTTTGGGTATCAGACCAAAATCCGAATTATTGCCGGCGATTCGATCCAATGAAGCGACTATCTTCATTTTTCCACATCTCACAAAAACCTCTGGTTATAGCGAACATTTTCTGCATATGCACAATCAATAAAAAAAATTGCTTGGCAACAGGTGCGTGTACTTAACCAATCATGATACGGAAGTTATTACCTGCATTTCATCAGTTGGTGCCAATTTGATGCTAATTTGTTTCGCAAAATCGAATTTTCCGCTACATACTTATAAGTTTTGTATTTCGACAGACTTTTACGTCCAGATTACCATTCGTTGTTTTTTTCATTTTAAGACCACACACAGCTATTATTTGTGAAACCAAGGCAAAATTACAGATTTTCACCAACAAAAAAGCCTCATCATAACTTTATTACCTAACTACAAGTATTAAGCCTGCATTTTCAGATTCAGATTAAAAGTGAAAATGGACCCGAAACCTACTTTTTGAAATCGCACTATCCATTTGTCTGCCTGTCCTCATGGTTCAAGGAATCAGCCTACTGAATTTAGGTCATTACGTCCAGTTCCAGATAACTGTCGAGTCGTTATCTGTACTCCGTCTCAAGTTATTTATAACAAAATTGCTATCATTCTATGCATTATCAAATGCGAAAATATGAATTGTGTGAAATGTGTAGGTACCTGAATGTTTAGTTGCAATTTTATCGTAATACTAAAGTATGTGAAAATCGGCCTGGATCATGGTATTTTTGAAACTTCTTTCAAAAATCTGCGGCATATGGGTGAATTCGCTTTGCAGATAGTGAATTATGCAGTCTGATTGGTACTCCCACATAAATTATTAACAAACCCCATTATATGTTCTTACATTTCGGATTTATGGATTTTTTCTGTTCCATAGAATTTTTTTACGGTACTGAGTGCTGAAAACTTTTTCACGCATTTCCTTTAGGTCGCTGGAAAAACATGAAAGATTATTTCAGATAGTAGCAGAAGAATTCTTCTATTACATATTTTACTTGTACATTATAACTAATTCATATAAAACAAAGTAGGTAGATAAAAGAAAACCAAAGAAAAATACCCCCTTGATTTTAATATTTCAGAAATAGGAAAGCGTTCCCTATAATATTGATATTGGCTAGAACTTATTTTTGAAATAAGTGCAAATAATATACAAGTAGAAAAAATGCCTGCCAAAGTGGTACAAATCCGATCCATTGGTTTGAAGTATACTGCACCGTCAATTTAATTACGTGCTTCATTTATTACACTTAATTAACAATAAAGTCTTCAACCGAAATATTTTATAACAACTAAAATATTATTTAATATTCACATATACATAATTTATAACAGCCCGAACTATTTAATACTGTCGTATATCGCAATCCGATTTGCTTATATAGTAAAGCCGAATGTTCCTGGATAGTTGCGATCATTCTACAACAAAATACGTCATATTTCCCAGAAAGATTACGTCACATCCACCTTCGCTCTTTATCGCCGATGACTAATCTTTTATGGCGCTTGGATGTTTATCGGGATTTCTGGAATATTCGCTACACACTGTTGCGTCTGGCAACACGGACCACGATTGTAGCGGAGACACAGTCCCAGGAAACTCTCGTTCTATAACGCGAACTTGATGGCGGTACTCGTACGACGATCTCCTTATGTATAGTCGGTCGGTAAAAAACTTTGGAAAAAAATTCCTTTTTTTCGAGGGTAAGGAAAAATTGGCACACTTGCAAAAACACGTGCACGCTACCGGCTCGTTCGATAAAGGTTATCTTCAAAACTTAATCCAACACAACATGGCAAGGGAACCCTCTCGACCCGCAGGACTGCAGGCACTTAAATCTGCTATTTGATAGGTCATAAATGTATTGCAATGCAGTTTTGTTTACGTGTAAATGCGAAATATTATATTTTGTCAATTTTCCCAAAGTTTCCAATTTTTCCGATTTTTTTCTGGAAAAAACATGTTTTTTCTGAGACCAATTTTTCCTGAAGTTTTGAGACACCACTCGTGCATCTTCCATTGTTGAAGAAATGCACTCCGCCGTCTTACGAATAGGTTGGGGGGTTCCTCTGGAGTTAAAGAAATAGCCAAATATTTCGACCACGGTTCCCTGGAATATTACATCCGGTCTTGCGACTTTTTAAAGCCATGAATCTGTAGTTGTCCTTTCGAGTGCTCTAATGTATTCCAGAAAATTTCGTAACTAGGTCTTTTGTTACCAGATAATACAGAAATCGTCTCTGCTCCGGTAGGAAACACATGTTACCCACCGCGGGAAGTTGAAGGTATGTTTTTCTTAAGCGCCCAAACCGAAACTTGAATTCTACGGCAATACCTCGAGAAATCTTGACATCCTTGGCTACGCAATGAGCTCGAAAAAACACTCCAAGCGAAAAAAGCGGAGCGGTCGCTTGGTGCTCGATACGCGAGCGTTTACTTAAAGTGCTCGAGCGCTTTTTTCTGCGCGCGAGCGGGTTTTCCGCTCATGAGCGTTCTTTTCCGCTCGTCAGCTCTTTTCTCTCTCGCGAGTTCTTCCGCTCGCGAGCGCTTTTCCGCTCACGAGCATTTTTCAACCGCTTCAACTCGCAAGCGGTTTCGTTTTGCAAAACAACTCGATGCTCGCGAGCATTTTTGAAGCAATTAGAGCGCTCGTCGCTCGAGCGGTTTTTTTAGAATGATTGACCTAGCTCTGACGGCTGGTGCTTAAATCAAATCAAACCAAAGCGTGCCCTTTGCATTGCAGGGTAATGTGCCATACATTCCGCATTGTCGTTGTCTCACATTCGCTGCTTTCTGTTCCTCGGGTATGGAGCCAACCAATTTACGTGCACCACCACCTGGTTTTCCTCGTGGTAGGTTCTGTATCTGATATATTAAGTCGTTTATTCTCTTCACGACTGTATCGAACTTTGTCATGGATGGCGGCCAAAGTCACAGGCTCTCCACGTATTCGTTCACCACAGTTTCTTCCTGGGCGGGTCTTGTGCCAAATTCTAAATCACGCGGTAATCGGAGTTCCCTGCCAAACAACATGGAACCTGAGCTCTGTACGATAGTTTCCTGCACCGCCATAATGAGCAAATGCAGATATTGATCCAAATCACGCTGGTCATAAGACACAACTTTGGACAAGTACTTACCAATTGTCCTATTCCGGCGGCGTTCTACCATCCCGTCTGACTGCAGGTGTAAAGCACCGGCTCTGGTTTTGCCAATAGTTGACACAGGCTTTGGAATAGTGCCGACTTAAAATTTCGTCCCTCGTCAGAGTGTAGCCCCAGCGGTACTCCAAATCTGATAAAAACTTCTGCTCTTGATCTGGTAGATTATATGCTGCATGCTGTCTATTTGCTGAAATAGTCCAGGTCACCAAAGCAGCTTGCCTTCAGAAGTCTGACCGTAATGAGTCCCACTGAGACCAATACGCCTTTAGAACGGATCGTATCGCGATACCTTTGCCCAGATTGACCTCTCTTCCATTTTCCAGTTTATTACTAAACGTAAAGCACGATCATCTTCTTGACCCCTTCGGGGTCGATGCCCAACCATCATCCACAAGTATCGTACGTCGTGTATCTTAATGCTTCAATGATGCGACTTGGATGACAGTTTTCCGGGGCACAACTAGCTCCTTCCCTTTGATCCGTTTACCTGGTTATTGGTTACTCTACTGTCGGGACAATTTCCTCTAATCTGTCCGTTTTTTTACTTCGCTTCATTTTGTGAATTTCAGCTCTAAACGCTCCAAATATTTAACTATTTCTATTATCTGCACCGTCAGCTGCTGTGTAAAGTGTTGTGGAGCCGTAGGATTTATTTATTTATTTATTGTCCCTCTCTTGTTATGGGCCCTCATCAGGCTTTCGCCCAATTACAGAGTGACCCGTATAATGCTTTTTGGAGGTGCCAACTGGGCTTCGAGTTCTTGTGAAGTTTCGCTTCTTTGAATTCGATTCTCTTCATGAAATGACGAAAATGAATCAACAAGTAAAGATGGCCGTGTTTCATTTATAAAAAACCATTTTGTGGGTGGTGATTAATGAGAAAGGATGGTAGGAATCCTTACGGCGAAATTTTTGGGATTCATTCGGTGCTGAGCTGCGGAGGTATTATTAACTGTAGAATTCCGAGTAAAAATTTAATGAACTGAAGCAAGATTCAGTTTTGATTTACGGGAGGCTTAACCTCTCAAAATATAACTGTTTCGGTGATCGCGGTAAAAGATCGTTTATGTGCCAAGGGTGTGTAAAACGGGAATTCATATACTATCTTTGGCACGCCGGGAAAGTAAGGGGGTTAATTTCAAGAAAGAAACCTAGGTTTCGGGAAAGCGCGAATAAATGAGGGACTCACCCGGAAAGGAAATACTACGTTCCAACGAGACGAGCTATAAACATTTTTTACTATGTGTAATTTTAACCCAATAACGTGTCTAGATGATATATTCACACAGAATCCACTGCCAAACGCTTCATCGTAGAATGGAATGAAGCCCAAAGAGCAGGTCCACAAATAAAGATAATCGGCATTGCGAAAGAAGTAATTACATGTACATAACCT